GAAACAAGACGACAACGGTTAAGTACGCAAATTTTTGCTCATGCACATCCTAAACGACTTATAGAATTTGTTTCACTCGCTTCGTATCTGCCTTCGAACTAACGACGGATGCTTCGTACAACTGTGAAAACCAATACCGTTCACAGCTTATTGGATTATGGCGATTTCGACAAAATGAAGGAATTTTTCTATGTTCTTCATGCATATCGCACCACACTGACAACAACGACAAAGATTACGACGACGCCAAACGAAAGAAGGAGGAACACAACACCGAAAAAAAAGAAATACCACAATATTTTGCTTATCCAGCTATCTGTCATAAAATATACCGACGATATCTATGCCAACGACCTTATTACATCGAGCCAAGTAGTTACCTTCGAAATGTAACATTTTCTCCAAAGATATTGATAAACTTCGTTTTTCTTGATTCGTCGTTATTCGCATTTTCTCTTTCGTTTGCTTGCGCTTCGACATCAAATGAATACGTTCAGTTTTGCCATGAAAAAGCGTTTGCTGAAAAAATTTGTGTACGAAAACAAAAAACGACATCAAGTCGCAATTCAAAACTGGACGTTTTGTGCACAAAAACCAATGGTTTGTTGCACACTTCAAAACATTTTCAAACAGATTAAGTTTTTCTCATTATGCAGCGAATAGCGAATATTACATTTAAAGTTTCGTCGAACGCAAAACGAGAGAGAAAATCCGACATCATTATGAAATTCGTTTCGTTTTTTTTTGCTTTCTTTGGCTTTGTCTATATATCGAAGTCTAGCTCTCTCTCTCTCTCTCTCTCTTTCTCTATATCATCTTGAAGAGTTTGCAATTGAGAGTCGGAAGATATAGAGTCAACGGAAATGAGAGATTTTCATTATTTGATGCACGTTAGCGCATTTTCAGACTTTTTCAGCTTAAGCGTTTCAAACGCTTCATCATAAACAGTGGGGTTTAATGAAACTAATGAGAACTGCTGTTCTCATGCTAAAATTAGGGTACATAAGCTGTGTGTGTGTGTGTGTGTGTGTGTTGGTTCCGTTTCTTCTTCTCCTTCTTTTTCTTCTTCTTTTTATTTCTTTTTTTTTACTTTTCAACATGTTGAAAGTTTTCAACAGCATCAAATTTTCAGAATACGAGACTGATGATTATGATGATTTCGTATTCTGTACAAACTGATGCACATCAGATGAAGAATGTTCAGGTTAGACGAGATGAATCGCTGCTCGGAAGCATCAGCATTAGGTGATTATGTATGCCAAAAAATATGTACACATAATGTACAAAAGGTCCCATTTGGAAAATGTAAATGCCTTTGAAATCAGCCCATATTCTATTAAAAAACTTTTCACTTCGCCCGTCTCAGCCAGAGCTTGGCAATAGGCAACTGGCAACTGGCTTTGAAATCGTATTAGAATTTTTCGTAAGCATGGCTGTGATATACATCGAAGCTCGAATATATATTATTATTGGAAAGCAGCTCAGAAGCATAAATTTCCGGATCAAATCGCATTTTTAAGGCTCCTCCACACATGCATTCTCAAGCGTGTGTGTGTATGGATGTGGCAATGCCTTTTCTAGGGGGATTTCTCACACAAAAAGTTTGAGCAAAAGTGCAAAAATTTCTATCATTTCTTCTCTTTGATTGAAATTGTATGAAAATGTACTGAAATGACGATTTTGCTTGAATAAAAGTGTTCTGGATGTGGGTTTTGGTGGATCCTCAGGATGGACCAGATCCAGTTTGACATTGCCCTGGCCCATCCTGAAGATCCACTTCCAGAACCGGGAGCAGTTCTGAACGATCCTTGAGATCCACCAAAACCCACTTCCAGAACAATTTCATTGAAGCATAATTCAAAAGTTCAGTGTAAATGTACATTTATTTACACGAATCGACAAAAATTGATCGAATCGGACCAAATTGAAGGAATTTTTCAGAATTTATAAGAATTCATTCATTTTTTTCGTGAGAAATCCTCCTAGTGCCTTTTAAAGCTGTTTAAAAGAAGAATTGTTTGCAATTTGCTCTTGACTTGGCCGTTGTTCAACGTTGGAAGGTTGGGGAGAGAATGCCTTAATTGCAATCCAAAAAGTAAATTCATGTGGGATGGAATTCACAGTCAATACCAATTTATTGCCGCTCATTTTTTCCCCTCAGCGAGAAAGAGATCTATTTCCTTCTTTCTCGCCCAATCTTCTATTTTTTTCTCTCCATCAAACGAATATGTTTTTGGGACGCATCTCACTGCTATTTTTTAGCTTTAATAAAATACCAAACTCTGGCTAATAAAAGTGAAAAACGAATACCTCCGAAAATGGTGTGGAACAATGCTTTCAATTTTCAATGCTCAACACCGAGGCATTTGTGTGTACACATTTCCATTGTTTCACGGTGGATTGTTCATTCGTGTTCAGCGGAAGCAAATCATATGTAGCACGTTAATGTTAATGTGAAATTGATAAAGTTCAGTTATCCAATTTCACACACATATACACTTATGTACGAGTGCAAGGTCGTGTGCAAGGTCAAAAATCCTAGAGGGGGTTAAAATTTTTTGGCAGATGGGGGTCTAAAAATTTTGTTAATGGGTGTTGAAAAAAAAGTGAAGACCTAAAAAAAGGTCCTCACTTTTGAAAATCGATTCTATCTAGTGTAAAACAGTCACAACCGCTCGAAGGGGGTCTCCATTTTCAAATCCTAGATGGGGGTAAAACCGGAACCCCCCCCCCCCCGTGCACACGTCTGCGTACGTACACATTTGCTCAAATTTTTCGCACGAAGGTAAACCCACAATGCCGAACAAAAGGGATTCGGTAACAAAGGCATTCAGGATGAGATGAAAGGGCGATAAATCTTAGACGAAATCGGGCAAACAAAACCTAAGAGTGTCGAGATTAAAAATATTAACGACTTTCCATTGCTCAAAACCAACACCGCGTACATACACACAAACAAACAAACTTATACACACACACGCACACACATATACTGAACGCACAACAAAGTTTTGTACAAATCTTCGTAATTGTTATCATGTTCAAGTCACATAAATATACCTTGATTCAGTTCTTGTCTTGCGATAATGCGTTTGCTTTTGCCTTCGCTGAATTCAAAAAACACCGGGAACTCGTGCCAAAAAAACCGCAAAATGGAAAATTTATCAACAACAAGAAAAGAACGAAAAAAGTGAATTTTCCATCGTACAAGAGTCATTTCGAACTGAAGATGGAAAATTATTCGTCATTCGACAACTTTTTCCAGCCACTCTTTTCCATGCAAAACCATGAGCAGAAACAACCGATTGTCCATAAAATAACATATGATTAAACATGCTCATTTCATCTCGGCTTTCGTCGTTCATCGTCCCACTTGGTCTCTGTGTGTTGATGTTCTTATTTCTTTCATTCGTCTCATTCTTGGTATGTAGGGTTAAACTTTTTTTGTCTTTATTATGTTGGTCGTAAGTTTGGTTCGAACAGAAATTTTTTCTTTCATTCTTTTCAGATAGCATCGATCAATGATTTTCCTTCCCTTCCTTTATCGGTTTTGCTATAAAAGGAGAATTTTACTCTCTCTTGCTTTCCGTTTGTGCTTTGCTAAATGTGTTCGATGCTTGGGCTTACATTGGCGAATATGTATTGCTTCATCAAGCACATTGGCTCCAGTTTATACGATTTTGCGTTGAGGCTCACACAAACGGCACGGCACGACAGAAACGAAACGAAAATATGCGAGAAACCTTAGCAGCCCACAAAGACGAGCAGTTTATATCAAAATTTATGTGAAATAGAATGAACGACGAAATTCGCGATAAAAATTGAATTTATTGATCTTTTCCCAGCACTGTTGTTGTTGTTATTAGGGCTTTTTCTTGCTTTCGTAAAAGCAGGAAAATATTTTGTTTGTGTGTGTGTGGATGTGTGCGACGCACAGGAAACTTGTTGAGCAAAAATATTATGTGGTATTATTCAAGTAAATGTTGTATTTATTTTCGGCCATATATTTCCGTCGTAAGTTGCTCTTATATTTTCATATTAAGTTGATGTAATAATGTCTTCAAAAAAAAACTGACTTAAATAACTTTATTGCATGGCAGAGAATTCACAAATCACTTTCAGAGAGATTCGCCTTGCTCTCTGGTGTCATAAACATCAGTGAAGCCCGCCAAGAGCCAGCCCAAAAATGAATCATAATACACTAAGAGAAAAAAAGTTATTATTCAGACTTTTAAATTAGGCCGCAAATCTAATTTTTTTTTCTTGTATGGTATCGCATGCCAATCTTGCTATCGTTTTGTTGCTGTGGTGGCTTGGGGGAGCCAGCAAAAATGTTTTATAAATAAGGCGTTAAAAATGAATTTGCATAATTTTTTCTCTCTCCCTCTATCTCTCTCTCTCTCTCTTCTTTATTCTTTGCCATTGGTTTTCATTATTATTAATTCCCCATGTCGATGGCATTAAATGTGGATTTGTTTGTGGAGTGTTCGCACAACATTTTTGCTCTGTCGTCATTTTTCGTTTATCGTTCACGATACACCACACCGAAACGATAGAAAAAAAAACATTTTGCGCGCAACGTACGCGTAATTGGTAATCGAATTCGTGTGGTATGTATCGCATCTGTGTCCCCAATCAAATCATGTTGTTTTTTTTCTTAACTCGACGACTACCTGTGCGTCGAACGAACGAGCTGGTAAGCGAACGTAAACAACGAAGCACACATGCACCCAATACCTCGATCCAATTTGACCGAGTAGAAAATTGCTAATTGCGAAAAAAATATCCAAATATTTGTGCGAAATCCACCGAAAAACAGCAGACGTAGTAGGCACTTGGAGTGTAACAATTTTACACACGCATACGTATCCATACATTTGAAAGGGGTAAATCGATGGATCTATGACGATGCTCACAGAAAACTATTCATATTTTTGCTTTTTTTCATAATTGTTTCGTTTCAATTTACATTTGAAATTTATTTGTGTTTACATTTTTACCTTTTTTCTCGCTCCTTTTCGGTGATCTTCGGGGAATATGGATGTGGGATTAATACCAGTTGGGTGCTATTGCTGTTATTTTTGCTGCTACTGCGACGACAAAACAATGGTTGAATTCAAAATATTGCCCTGTAATATCGAACGATGGCTATTGAATCGTTTGTGAATAGCCTTGTATGTTTCGCATTCAACGACGAATATAATTACATTTGCATGTAGATCAGATTGGCACTTTGGCACTGTTGAGTGGTCAATTCACCGTTTCACACGAAACTGTTTCGAAAATCACAAAAAAAGGAAATTAGTTGCGTGTTTTTTTTCTTTCTTCTTCTTCTACTGCTGTTGAATCGTTCTACTCGCAAATCACTGTATTTTATGTTTTGAGTGTTTGTCAGGTGAAAAATGTTTGCGTGATTGGAAATAGATGCTCTATCACGCTAGACGCAACATACAAAATTCATGTAAACTCTCGAAAAAGTTAAACTCTTGTTTGGCTCCAATGGATGTGTTTTTATTGTATTCCATTGGCTAATGTCAAATTGAAAAGAATCCGAAAAAAAAGAAAAGAACGTATTATCGATACACATATACACACACTCAGTATTTCTATAAATTTTCACAGTGACACGGTATTCGCTCTCACTAACAAGCAATCACGTTTAATTTGATTTCTATCAACTTTCTTTGACACAAAGTTTTTCTTTCCACGGATTCGATTCGTATTTGCCGTTACAATGTGGAGTCAACAAGGAAAGGAAAAGGGTCGACAAAGCTTGTTTTGTGTCCGGATCAAAGGTAGTCAAGTGAAACGCGAACTTCAATCTCTTCTCGACTAAATGTATTTCAATGCTTTGGATGCTGTTTGTTTTCTCGAATTTTGTGATTTGAAATGTGTGGCCGTGGCGCGTCGCGTTAACACAATCATCACGTTTATATTTTCGTCGTCTTTTTTCTCTTGCTTCTACATTCTACCGTTGTTACTATTTTCTCAGTTTGATTTGTCTTTTTGTTTGTGTTATGCGTCTTTTGTACTCTCTTTCTGTATATTTGCTCCCTTGTCGCTAAAGTTATTGTTGTTCTTCTGCGTCCGATTTTCGTTTGGCAAAGTAGATATATTCTGTTTTTGTTATTGGCGCAAGATTGAAAAATCCACATAAAATGTGCGTTTGCACGCGTTAGACATCAATGTATAAACGCAACAGAATGACGACACAACTTTTACCACTGTTTGCCGATTTGCTGTTTGTGTTGCGACTTGCACTGATTTGCCTCTTTAGTCGAAGTTATTAGGCGCGCATGAGTAAGGGTTTATTCTTGAGCACAAAACACTCTACCGAAATAATCCAACGTTTTCCCTCAACGTCTTCTTCTTTTCACTTCTTTACGGTATTTACGTTGGCACACTTTCTTTGCGAACAGTCAATGATACTCTCTCTCTTTTCGCCGGATTCGAACCAATCACACAATATCATTCCAAAGGCATGGCTGTGTTCTGCAATGTTTGCCAGTTTACAAATCAACAAGATTTGCGTGCGAAATCAAGAAATCGTATCTCATTTTGCGCGATAAGATTCCAAATTGGCATAACATAACACACAGCATAGCACAGAACACCCTCCCGGACAACGTTTTTTCTTCTTCTCCCGTATCTCTTCTATTCCTTCACAAATGTATTATTTGTTACAATGTCAATGTTATTTCACTTGTTCACATTTCTCGAATTATATAATGTTCTAGAATTGGATTGATAGGCTGTATGAATAAACAAACCGTTTGAGCAGATCGAGAACGAGTTTCGAATTTGTGATTGTTGCTGTGATACGATGCAATCGAAATAACCATCACTTTGATTTCCGTACTTCGGTGTGTGCTGTTGTTTTTGTCTGTTTTTTTCTCCTGTTACTGCTCTGTGTGCTGTTTTTATGTTTCGATTCACTTTTTCCACTCGGTGTTCGTCTTTTCGCAAGGAATGAGAAGGATAAAAATCAAATGCAAACACTTAAAATTTTATATTTATTTTACAGCTTTGAGAAATACTGGCAGCATGGAGCAATGTTTTCGTCGTCTGTTTTGGCAACGATGATTTTAATATGGAAATTGGTGGATTTTTTTATTTCGTCTGATTTTCAACGCTTATCTCGCATATATTTGATTGGTTTTTATTTCGTTTTACCCGAAAATTTCGGTCTGGCAGAGAGTTTTAGTACGATTTAATAGAAAAAGACATTTTTCAAATGGTACACACGATTTGGTCGAAGTAACACACTCGTAATAAATTCTCCGTCTTTTTTTTTATTATTGCATATTGCCAATATAGATGATTGCACCACAAAGTAATACAAGCAACACTAATTTGCAAGTTTTATTTCCAAGCAATTACTTAGTTTGGAGAATCGGTTTTATTGCGAAAACATTCGATTGATTTCGGAATTAATCACTGGTAATTATTCACTTTTTTGGTCGAACAACTGTTCAAAATTCTGATTTGCTTGTGTCGTTGTTCAGAAAACTCTTTGACTTGATGCATTTTTTTTGTGTTCTCTGATCTGCGTTTCTTTTAATTTGCATTCAAATTCATCGAGAAATTCAAATGAAATGAATGTGAATTGGTTTCACAAAACGATGATGATTGGTTTTTTTCTTCTTCTGGTGACTCTTTGCGACTTTTTGAATGTGATATGAATGTTGGATGAAGTTTAAAAAACCGAAAGTGTACGAACGACAAATGGAATTGCGATGTGATGTGATGAAGACGACGACAACGACGAATGAGAAGGAAAAAAATACCGCACGCGAGACAATAATTTGTGTACGATTTGAATCAACGATGCGGTACAACTGATTGTTGTCGACCGTTTTTGGATTTCTGTATCCACATTGCCAATGTAACTAGCAGCAAGTGCCAGTGTTCTTGCTTGAGCCACGTAGTCGGGGCGATGTGCATGTGCGCGCAATACACACAGCTCATTCTCTCCATCTCTGTGTACTAGGGAGATTACACTGTTAAATCAACGCACATGATTTGTTTCGTAGTCGCTCCGGCTCTCTTCATAACTTCAATTCAATTCGTTGGAGTAAGAGCGGACGACGGTACCAACGACGACGACAACAACGGTTCGCAGCAGCGGCAGCAGCAGCAGACTACGTTGTGCGTGAGAATGTTCTCTGTGTCTGCATGGAAAAGTGCGTACCATCAATGAATGTTAATATCATTCGTTAGTCGTTCAAAATGTGAAACGACAATGAATGTTGTTCACCCATTACTCGCCTCGACTCAAACAAACAAATTGGACCAACGTTCAATGATTTTGAAACTGCATCCCATTACATACACCTCGATTTCTCCGCTATCTTTTTTGGCGCTCTGAAACAGAAAAACACACACACATGCTGCGAGAGTAAAACACTTGCAAAGCGTGAATGGTTAATGCTTACAGATGTCATTTCATGCATGGATCTCTCAATGAGTATTAATTTCGGCGATGGAAATGTGACTTCATCCTAGTTGAACACATTCACTACCTCGACAATTTTTCTGCATGTAGCGAACGAACACAAATTGCCAGCTTCTTCTCGCTGTTCAATGCGTGTTTTTGCTATTGTTTCTGTTGGAATAGCGTTCGCGCACACCAGTAATGGTACAGCAGCAGTGGGAATAGAATTCGACAACAACCGTTGCTATACAATATTTCGGTTAAATTCAGTGTAATCACACGCAATGGTAATGGCTGGTAGTAAGAATGAATATAAAAGGTGGCGGTGCAGGTATATGAAAATAAAAGGATTTTCACTACTGAATACCATTTTCGCCAAAACACACAGAGACAATAGCAAATAAATGGTTGCTCACTTCCGCATTCAAAATACTCAATTTAATACTTTGAAAAATCACCTAATCACCACGTCCCGTAACCAAATATGCTGTTCAATGGACTTTTTCTTGCCACATTTAGATTCGGTCTTGTTTCGACTTTGTTTCCCGTGTGAATCGAAAATTCTGCTGGGTTTCAAGGGGAGACGAATACACATTCTGCCGACCAAAATCGAATAATTCATTGCAATGTGTGTGGTATTACCTGAAAATTCCCATTTTGAATGTGATACATTTTCGGTCCGAACCAGTCAAAATTAATAACACTCGGCTCTATTACTTTTATTCATTCTGTCATGAAATGAAATTGCGAATGTTTCGCGAATTAGAAGTGAAACAGAGAGAGAGAGAAAATGGAACTTATGTAACGTTTCGTATGAATTATTGTGATGCGCTTATTGACTAGGCTATAAATTCCAACTATTTAATGTGTATGCAAAACACAAGATAAAGAGCCAGACACACACCAGCTCTTGTTGGTTGCTTCAGCGTACCGAAAATCCGAGTTTCAGTATGCTTCAGCCGGCGTGTGTGTGTTTCAGCGATTTGTGCAAATCCATCGAGTCATTCTTCGTGTGCTGTATTTGGTTGTCTTCTTTTTTGGCGGTTGTTGTATATAAATTGGCCAATCGGTATTCAGCTGGCGTTTTACATGTGTAAATGATACAGCCAAGTCAGTGGTGAAGTGGGATGCTTCACGTTTAGCTTTGGCTTTGCGCCGTTGTTTTCTCCTTCATTTTTTGGATGTGTTTCGTTTTTTTTATGTGTGTGTGTGTGTCGAAATCAGTTTTTTCATGTATCATGAGCTTATTCTTTGCAGAATTCTCTACCGGAGAGCGAGACAGAAAACGTTTGAAGCATAATTTTTTTTCTGCTTTGAGGGAATAATAAATTACTTTGGCATTAGCAACGACGGAATTCACACACGAACACTCAGCTCTGTAAGCATTCTACAGTAGTCATCTTCACGGAAATGTTTTGCATCGACGACCAATTCACATGTAATAAATGGCCGGTTCCACATCTGATCACAATTGCATTCACGCGCGTGTAAACAGATTCGCCTAACCTCCAGCCCAGGCCATGCGATATAATAGCGAGTTTAAGGGAGAGATGTGTTTACGTCTTCTTTTCTGTATACGTGTCATTTTCTCGTCGGTTTTAATGGTGTCACCATTTTTTTTTTTTGAGAAAAAATCCGAAGATTGAGTCTTTGTTCGAGCATACAGCTTTAAATTGTTTCATTTAAGCGGAATTGATGAAACCATTTCTATGAGGAGTTTACAAAGTTAATACTTTGTAGACGAACATAATTCAAAGAAACAAAAACTCAACAAGATTCGATACAAAAGAATAAAGCTTGAAAAGAAGTTATCGATTTTATCGTGATATTGATGAATTGTCAAGCAAAAAAAAATCGGAATAGATTAAAAGAAACTGAAGAAAATTGAACCTTCACAAGCAGCAAGCGTTTAAGATAAAGGTGCTCAAGCTGACTGAAGCGTTAAATAAAGGATGGTTTGTGTTTGCAACTATAGTTGTAAACGATGTATCGTTCACGTCTCACCGATAAAATGGCACACGCAAAAAAGTTGAAGACAAATAAATTTTTCTTGGAAAATCATTTGCTAAACGGTTATCACCAATTTCACACGCTCCTTTTGGTTGACACTTTGGATTTCGGGCGTTATTATATGAGGAAAATATTAAATGAGTGGAGCGCACGAACTCGCTTATATATGCCTTTGACATGGAGTGGAAATTGAATCGAGGAACAGCGACGAACAACGAATTCATGTTCATCTGTTTGGCACGGGTCAAATGGGATGATGCTAAAATGACAAAGCACCGAAAAAATATATCGATTTCAATATTCGAAAGCATTTTCTGTTATCGAAGCAGCT